AACAAGCTGAAAAATAAAACCAAAGTTTTTTTTTTTTTAGATAATGTAATCTTGTTAAAATTGATTTCATAAAACTGGTATCGAAAAAAGTATCGTTCAGGAACCAGCATCGAAGTCAAGGTATCGGTATCGAAAAATTTTGAACGATACCCAGCCCTAATCATGACAAAAGCTTCAATGAATATTGTGAAAATTTGATACTGCCACATACCTAATGTACATACAATTTAATAGGACTATAAATAACTACATATTCAGCCTATTAAATACAGTCCGATGCAAAATTATTTAAAAACCTTTGAATAACTTAAGTACTTTCTGTATTCTGATAAATTAAATAATTGTGCTAGAAAATGTCTCCTTATATCCCCTTAAGATAAAACACATAATTGGAAAAAATGTGCATTGTGCCCCTAAATTGTTTTAATGCGCTCCTAAATTTTTCAACATAGGAGCACATGTGAGGCACTGTTTCAAATAAATCATAAATTCCTGTTTATAACTGGATTCCACGATTCCGTCCATGTTTTCCACATTGCAGAAATCATAGGGCCCTAATACATGTTTAAAGATGATTTGTGCTTTCCAGTACCTTAGGGATGATGAGGAGGGCGTCAGCAAACGCCTGCACACCCAGCTGAGCTCGGCCCTTCACTTTGGGCTTGTGTTTAACCAAAGCATCAGCTACAGCCACCTCGAACGCACCGGCCCCCGCCACAACCGAACCTGTGAGAACACCAGCACAACGCCCCACATTAACCCCTAGCATCTCTACACAGCATTACGGACATTTGAAGGAGAATTCAATCTTTTCTTTAAAAGAGTGGCAATGAAAGTGTTAGAGGAATACAGATATTTAAAATGTATATGCTTAGGTTGCAATCAGCTATGCAGGGAAATGGAACAAGTGCATAATATAAAACTAGTCTAAATTTCCAGAGAAGTCATCACCTCTAAAGGATTTTTTATTTTAATTTACTCCATGAGGTTCACCTATAATGTTAAAGTTTTTTTTTGCACAAAAAAGTGATTTTCAAGCTATTATTTTCAACCCCACACTGAACGCGAAAATTCGGCACAAATGTTTGGCGCGATGACGCTTTTGAATCGAAAAAATAGATCCCGATGGGGCTTCATCGGCAATTCGCCTCGCTTTTTTGCAACGGGCTCAGTGTGAAACGGCCTTTATTCTGAGCCTCCGTATGAATGATCGGTTCAACATCAGGGGGCGGAGCCATTAACCATCCAGGGGTGCGTTTCCCAAAAGCATCATTAGCTAACTATGGCCGTTAGTTCCACTGAACTCCATTGGTAACAATGGAACCATAGTTCCTTTTGGGAAACGTACCCCTGAACATTAGTGGCGGATCCATTAACCAACTGAATGCCAGTGGGCGGAGTCATCAACCAAATAAACATAAATGGGCGGAGCCATTAACAATCCTGAATACCAATAGGCGGAGTCATCAACCAACTAAACATCAGTGGGCGGAGTCATTAACCATCCTGGGGTGCGTTTCCCAAAAAGAACTATGGTCACAAGTTACGTCATTACCAATAGAGTTCAATGGAACTAATGACCATAGTTAGCTAGCAATGCTTTTGGGAAACGCACCCCAGAATATCAGTGGGCAGAGCCGTTAACCAACTGACTGCCAGTGGGCGGAGTCATCAACCAACTAAAAGTCAGTGGGCGGAGCCATTAACCAACCAAATTCCAGTGGGCGGACTCAACCAACTAAACCTCAGTGGGCGGAGTCATTAACCAACTGAATGCCAGTGGGCGGAGTCATTAACCAACTGAATGCCAGTGGGCGGAGTCATTAACCAACTGAATAAAACTGTTAGCTAACTATAGTCGTTAGTTCCATTGAACTCTATTGGTAATGACGGAACTTGTGACCATAGTTGTTTTTGGGAAACACACCCCTGAACATCAGTGGGCGGAGCCATTAATCATCCTGAATGTCAGTGGGCGGAATCATTAATCAACTGTTGTAATGTTTGTCTCCCTACCGTCTTCGATGGCATTTTTGACGGCTCTGAGTCCGTCTCTCACGGCGTCTTTGATCTGAGTCAGGGTTTGCTTGTTGGGTCCTTTCACCAGCAGCGTCACAGAACGAGGGTTGCTGCACTTCTCGATGAATGTGTATTTCTCCTCTCCCTATAGCAAAAGGCCAAATAAATGAAAATGAACTAACATTCAGAGAGTTCTGGGAGTTTAGAATAAAAGCCCAGCGCTCACCAGTGTGTGTTCGTACACGAGTCCAGCGTGACCCAGACACTCCGGCGTCAGATCGTCCACTGAGTTCATAGCTACACCACCGCAGGCCAGAGTCAGCCTTACGGGAAAACAACACATTTTCAAGAGTAAGAGGAATGTGGATGTTTTGTTTTTCACTTTGAGCCATTTTGTACATACAGTAAAAAAACAAATGAGAAAAAAATGTTGCAAGCTCTTCATTGAATAATCACTACATAATTGGGCAGACTACATACATTAACCCTTTCCCGTCATTGACGATTTTTCGTCTTTGTGTTTTCACTGTTATATGGTAGGAGGCGCTATTACACCTCTTCTGAGAGTACTGAATCTCTGCATCAAAACACTTAAAGGTGCCATAGAATGGAAAACTGTATTTACCTTGGCATAGCTGAATAATAACAGTTCTGTGCATGGAAATGACATACCGTGAGCCTCAAACACCATTGTTTCCTCCTTCTTATGTAAATCTCATTACATCTCAGACATTATTGAAACATATTTTCCCAGTGTTTCCTTCCTGCTGTGTGAGCTACTGAAATGAGCTGCACTGTGAAGCAGCCAATCAGAGCAGAGCTCAACATTATTATTCATGAGCCTTCCAAATAAGGTAAAAACAGAGCATTTCATTCTAGGGACAAATCCTAGGGTTGTAAATGGACATGTAAAACCATTTCTGGAGATTTTTTTGCCCTTACCTAAGCCACATACCTTCTATGTAGATATCAGAGAACAATTTAAAATATTGAATCAATGCATTCTATGGCACTTTTAATGCAGCAGCACAAACAAGCGATCGTGTATGTAAGCAGATGCATATGCAAAATAATACAATCATCAAACAGCATGTAAATCAAGACTAACATTACTGAATGAAATGACATGGATTCAATCTACTATGCCATTTTCTCAGCTTTTTGTTCAAAATGTTGCTTTTTTTTTTACATTAAAAACTTACATTCAAGCGTTAATAAAAAGAAAAGAATGCATGAAGCTACAACTTTTTAACGTTGTTTTGTTTAAAAGCAGAGGCTCTGTTCTTTTGACATATTGCATGTTCAGATAATCATACAAAAAATATTCTGGAGGCCATGAAAAGCTTAAGAAAATGATCAATTCTGGCTAATTTTTAAAAAGAATACTGGTGGAGAAAGAGTTCAAGTCTGAAATTTGTAACGACATTCTTACAATTATTTCATAATAAAATGTAAACACATTTAAACACTAACTTGACAAGATTTGGATTGGTGCTTAACCAAAACAATGCATATATTTTGTTTTATTATTTGCTTTGCCGTTTTATCTTTATTTGTAATCAATTAGCATAGTTAGCAATTTGCTTGCTTACACAAGCAATCCCAATCAAAAAAAGCACAACTTTTGTTTTAGAATCAAACAGGTAAATTACAAAGTGGTTAGGTCACAAAAATCTCCCTGACAATCATCTCTTACCTCTCCATGTTTCGTCTCTTTGCTCGACGCAGCGCCACAATGCCCTCTTTAGCCAGCGCGTCCAGAGAGAATGGATCAATACCCTGAACACAACAAATAATTCAGCTTTAGCAAGCTGTGCAGGCTAAGAGTCAAAAGACAGAAACTCTACTGCTCTGATGAATACATGCTGAAAGTTTAACTCTAGAGATAACCCAAGAATGGTGATCAATACTAACGGTGATGTTAGTATATTCTAAAAACTAAAAGAATAAATATCGATTACCTTCTGGTTGATGACCACAAAGCCCTTCTTAGTATCTGCGCACACTTTATTCTTCAGCTCGATTATTTTCATCACACGATCTCCGATGAACTTCCTCTCCGCCTTCACCAGCTTGTCTCTCTCGCCTGCGCTCTTGTAGAAGAACCCAGAGTTCACTTCTCTGTGAAAACACACAGCGGGTACGACTACAGATTTACTAATTCACAGAATCACCCAGTAATCTAAACATGAGCATTCGCAAAGCCTACGTTTTCTCGTATTCCAAGGAAACGTTGCAAGTGAGAACGAAAGCGTCCTCCACCCTCTTCCTCATGTCAGGATGCCTGGCTCCATGATCCAGCACCAACCCTCTGATCAGTCTAAGCATTAAACACAAAATTACTATATCATATGACTGCAGTTTCAGGGTGAGCTACTCCGAAGATATCTATAGGATATATAAATGAAGCGTAAAGTGCACATAAGAGAAGAGAGGACGACCTTACTGTGTATCGCTGTCAGTTTTGTGCTTCATCTCCATGATCTCCACCATGTAGAGGTCGATGGGCTCGCTGGGTTTCCTGATGGCCAGAACAGCATCCACCACAGCCTGAGGAA